TAGTGCAGTGACCAGAATGCCACACAGTATTCCAGCTGTAGCCTAACTAAAATAAAATTAAGAAATATGGATGCAGAACACCAGTTTTGATGAAGCATCATTGGATTTGAAACGTTAACTCTGCTTTCTTCCCACACATGCTGAGTTTTTCCAGCAACTTCTGTTTTTGTTTTGTGGCCTAACCAAAATTCTGACACTCCAACATAACCTCCCTACTCCTATAATCCATGTCCTGACTGATAAAGACAACAGTCCCATATACCTACTTAACTACCCTATTAAGTCTGTCCTACCTCAACGATTTTTCGTTTAAAAAAAAGGACAAAGTACACCTCTTAAAGCCATAGTATTGATACAAAAATGTTAGCTTGCAGACGACACAAAGGTGGTTGACAGTGAGGAGGAAGGTAATAGGTTACAGGAGATAAATAATTGGTCAGATTGGCAGAGACAAGAACCCAAAATCCCTTTCTTCCTCAGCTTCCTGGTGTCCTACTATTCATTGAGTACTCCCTTGTCTTGCTCCTTCTTCCAAGATGCCACAGTCACATTTTGCAGGGTTAAGTTTCATCTGCCACTGATCTGCCGATCTGACCAATCATTTATCTCCTGTAACCTATTACCTTCCTCCTCACTGTCAACCATCTTTGTATAATCTGCAAACTAACTTATTTTTGTGACGATACTATGGCTTTAAGACGTGTACTTTGTCCTTTTTTTTAACAAAGAATCGTTGAGACAGAGCAGTCTGCTCAAAGCCAATAAACTAAACAGCTTGGAACAATAGAAGCAGCCTGGAAGAGTGTGGTCAGAGCTGCTAGAATTGTATGTGAGACAATCTATTTTACTGAATTTGCCTTTTCCAAGGCTGTGTTTATGGGATGTTACTATATTGGAACAGTTAATGTTTAGCAGTTAAATAATCTATTAATGTGTTAAGTTATCCAATAGAGTTAAGTTATTCCAATTCTTTCACTTGTTGTATTTTAACTATAGCGTATGAATAAAGTATGTTTTGCTTCAAGTCTGGTAGTCTGATCAATGAACTGCATCCAGAACATACTGCCTAGCACTTGCCTTTAAAATGAGAAAAGGTTAGGGTCTAGACTATCTTCTTAATATATTTTGAAGGGGTCTGGTCTGGTCCATAACATCAGCACCCCCCTCCCCACCCCCAGTCATCATTTATGCATATCACAAACAATAATGGACCCGGCATTGGTCCCTGTGGTATACCGCTGCACACAGGGCTCCAGTTACACAAACAGATCTCTACCACCACCCTCTGTATCCAATCACTAAGCCAATTTTGGATCCATCTTGCTAAGTTGCTGTAAGCTTTTACCTTCTTTATCAGTCCCCCATGTGGGACTTTGCTGAAATCTATATAAACTATATCAACTGCCCTACCCTCATCTACATCTTGGTCACCTCCTCGGAAAATTCCACCAAATTTGTTGGCATGACCTCCCTCTGACAAAGCCCCATGCTGACTCTCCCTGATCAAACCTTGCCTCTCTAAATGGAGATTAATTTTCTCCTTCACTATTTTCCCCAATAGTTTCCCTAACACTGATGTTAGTCTCACCGGTCTATAGTTCCCTGGTCTATCTGTACGACCCTTCTTGTAAAGAGGAACTATATTAGCCATTCTCCAGCCCTCCAGCACCTCTCCTGTAAACAGAGAGGAATTAAAAATTTGGGTCAGGGCCATAGACCTCTCGCCACAGATGTTACCAGACTTGTTGAGTTTCTACATCAATTTCTGTGTTTGTATCAGATTTTCATTCTGTGTTTTGTTTTATTTAGATAGTTTATTAGTTGATTTTCATTTTCTAAAATTCACTAGATTTTGGAAAGTCCCAATCGATTATAAGATAGCACATTTGTGTCCTTTATTCAGGTAAAGGAGGGACACAGAAAGCAGGAAACTACAGGCCAGTCAGCTTACATCTGACATGGGGAAATGTTCAAACTTATTATTAAAGACCTGCTGTGGATAAAGGTGAACTAGTGGATGAACTGTACTTAGATTTTCAGAAGGCATTTGATATGAAGCCACATCAAAGGTTATTGAAAAAAATAATAGATCATGGTGCAGGCAGTAACAGATTGGCCTGGTAGAAGATTGGCTGCCTGACATGAATCAGCAGGTAGGAATAAATGGGCCACTGTTAAGTTAGCAAGGTGTAATAACTGGTGTGCCACATGAAGCAGCGCTGTGCCCTCAACTATTTACAAACAATAGAAATTACTTGGAAGGTATCGTAACAAAATATAATGATGCTACAATGATGGGTAATTTATTAAGTTGTGAAAAAGACATAAGGAGGCTACAGTGGGACTGCATTGGTTACGTGACTGGGCAACATAACAGAAAATGTACAAATTCCATTTTGGCAGAACAAAATACAAAAAGAAGCGCTTTGTCCAAATGGTGAAATGTTGCCCAGCTTTGCGATGTAGACAGATCAGGTTTTCCTCGTACATGACTCACAAAGTTACATTATGCAGGCAAGGCAAGTAGTGAGATAAGCACAGTTACTCACAGGGGAATTGAAAATAAAATAGGTTTGGTTTCTGTCATACAAGGTAATGCTAAGACCATATTTGGAGTACTGTGCACAGTATTGTTCACCTTATTTCAAGAGAGATGTGAATATACTGAGAGTGAGCCAGCTATTCAAGATGGTGGCTCCAGGCTGGCTGCATTCTTTCTTTTCCTTCTCTCTCCTTGTCTTTTTTTAATCTTCTTCTGGACTTCTGGAGAGAGACACAGCCATGGCAATGGCATCGCTCTTCATGTAGCAGCAGATGTGGGTCCTGAGTGGTGCCAGCTGGAGGTTGGTGTGTGGAAGCAGCTGTGGGCCTCGGCCCAACGTGGTTAGAGTGGGTCCGACGTTTTGGTGAGGGAGGTGCCTGGCATGTGCGGCATTCAGAGCAGGAATCCCAAAGTTTCCTGCATAGTGGGCCAAAGTGGAGGAGACTGAGCCCTATTTTTCCGCTTAATACTAGGAAAGACCGTCAAGTTAACTTTTAACTTTATTTCTTTATTTTTCTACTTATACTAATAACAATAGTAATGATTTACTTGTAATTTTGTTTCTTTTGTATTACTACTTGTACCTAAGTTTTGTACCTAGGTACCTTTGTACGTAAGATGATGCCATGTTTGGTGACATTGTACACTTTTCACTGCACTCCTGTACTTCTGGAATGGAGTAGATGTGACAATAAAGCTTACATCTTAAAATATTGGAAGCAATTCAGATCAAGGTTTACTAAACTCAACACCAATTAATTTAAAGGAGTAAGTCATGGCAGGAGAGTTCAAAGTTGTGGTGTGCTCCTCCTGCTCTCAGGATCTGAAATCTGTATTGAAGGTTCCTCACAGAATCGGCAGCATCTAGAGGCTGGTCAGCCTGTCACCTTCACTACTGCAGAAAGTGGTTTTGGACAAAGCATCATGTGTTTTTAAGAAGGAGCTCTTGTGGCTAAAAAGAATATGGGGGGGGGAGGGGTGGGGCGGTGGTGGGAGTGGAGCATTGATTTGAATGATCAACCATGATCATATTGAAGGCAGAACAGGCTTGAGGTGCCAAATTGCCCATTCCGGTTCCTATCTTCAATGTTTCTGTGGAATTAATAGGAAGTGGTGGACAGGTTGGGCTTGTATCTTGTGGAGTTTAGAAAAGTGAGACAACTTTCAAAAGTGAGACAACTTTCCTGAAACACTGTAAGAACCTGAAGGGATTTGACAGGGCGGGGTGTGGAGAGGGTGTTTCCTCTTCTGGGAGAATCTCTGGCTCAGATAACAGACCATTCATTTAAGACAGAGATAAGGTGAAAACTTGTCTCATTAAAGGCCCTGTGTCTTTAGAACTCTCTTCTTCAAAAGGTGGTGGAAGCAACATTGCTGAATCTTTACAAGGCCATGGTGAATAGATTCTTGATTAATAAGGGAGTGAAAGGTTATGAGGGAAGGCAGGACCAAAGACTAATCAGATCAGCCATGATCTTATTGAATGGTGGAATAGGCTTAAGGAGCGGAATGGCCAACTCCAATTTGTCTATATGTGTGTCCTTCCTCCCTCTCTATTCATATCTCATTCTGATTTTATAAACCTCAAGTAAATCTCCCATTAGTCTCCTCTGGTCTAATGTTAATCTTCCCTCATTGTTAACATTCTCCTGTCTTGACACCATCCTCTTTCAATCTCCCAGTCCAGTGTGATCGCCACCTTGCTGAGTATGATGAGAAATGTATTCTTCACCCAGTGTATCATCTTAATGGTTGTCCGCACTGTCTGTAAGATCTTCACACCCTCCTGAAGTGGGAGGGTCCAGAATAGAGCACAGTCCTTCAGACTGGGACAAAACAATATTTTGTAAATGTTCAGCAGGACTTCCTGGTTTTTGCAATGTCTGTCTCACATTATAAAGTATAAACTCAGTTTCTCAGAGTGTAGACTGTCGAGGGTGGTCTAATCAAGGTGTCTGTAATGTTCACTTGGATTCAATTGGGTAGAGATGGACACAGTATTTTCACACCCAGGGGTGTAGAAATTAATCACTCTCTCCCCTCAGGAGACTGAGCACGCTGGGACAGAGGGAGATTGGATATCTGAGTGGGAATAATTTTTATTAGGTTAGGGTCTCAGGGGACTTTGAATAAAGATGGGTAAGTGTTGCAGATACATTGAGCAGCCAGCTCGAATGTTCCTAATGTTCCCCTCCTGGTCATGTTCTGCATCAAATCACTTTCAGTTTCTCCTTTGATTCTGAAAACCTGCTGCAGTTTATTCTCCCTGGTAACCGATGGTGTGCATTTACAGTATCTCTCTGATTGGGTGGTTCACTGTAATTTTCAAATTTATTTTGAGACAGACTCAACCTGTCCAGGAATGTTCTACCCGGAAACTGCTAACTCACATACTGTTCCTATTCTCATTGGCTCGGGGTAAGCAGTGCCCAATCAGTAAGGAGGGATTTGATGTTAATTTCACCAGTTCTGTGTCAGAGCATACTCAGACAGATCCAGAGCTTGAGACTATTAAGATCTCTCCAGTACAAGATCATCTGTTCCAAAAGCAGTGACTACAGACCATTCCTCAAACTCCGAGAGGGCAGACAACAATGTTAAGACTCATACTACTCGGCCTCCTGTGTGGAGGGGCATCTGCAGGTGGGTAATGGGCACAGAGAGGTCTCAGTGCCAGCCTGGGTATTGGAGCATTAACCCCTGGTCAGAGAAGGTCTCAGTGCCAGCCTGGGTTTTGGAGCATTAACTCTTGGTCAGAGAGGTCTCAGTGCCAGGCTCTGTATTGGGCATTAATCCTCAGTTAGTGGGTAATGGGCACAGAGAGGGTCTCAGTGAGGAAGGAGACCAACAATCAGAACTGGCCAGGGGAAAGATGGAACTGGGATCAGGGGCTAGTGAGAGAGACTGGGAGATGGTGTGGGTGACTGAAGTCTAGAGTGATGAGGCTGGAGGAAGAAAGAGATGGTGTGTGTAAGGGTCTTAGGTTAGGGTGACGAGATGTAGAAAGAGAGATGTTCGGATCAGCACGTTGAGACTGGAGAGAGGAGAACACAGCAGAGGTTCATCCCCTCCAGTCAGTTCCATCAATGACCAATTAGATGACAGATGATGTGCCCCTCATTCCCCAAGTTTGCTCGATCTGCTGTGACCCTTTCACTGAACACAGCTGTCTATAGATAGAGGAACAGAGGTCACAGACTGATCACCGATCATTGCCCAGAAACACTAACTCTGTTTCTCTCCACAGAGATTGACAAAGCTGCTGGGGATTTCCAGCACTTTCAGTTTGGATTCAGATTTCCAGAATCCACAGTATCTTGTTTTTGTAAAAGTCTATGTCTCTCTGTATGAATAACTGCAATTATTGCCCAATATCTGCAGCTTTATGAGGAGAGTGTTCTCTGGATTTTCGCTCCCCTTTTGTGTGAGAAACTGTTTCCTGGTTTCCCTCCTGAACAGTAAAGGTTTCATGTTCAGATTATGTCACTGGTTTGTGATTCTCCCAGCAGGGGGAGCGGTTTCTCTGGATCTGAAATCTCTGTCGAAGGTCCCTCAGAATTGTTATAAAGTTGACACTGAGCCACAAGAGGAGATAAAGAAATAAACAAAAACCAGATCAAAGAGCGCAGTTCCATGGACGGTGTGAAAGGAGGAAGGTGAGGTGTAGAGATGGAGAGGTTTAGGGCAGGAATTCCAGAGGCTGGGGCCTTGACAGCTGAAGGTGCGACCAGTAAAATGGGAGATGCTGAAGAGGTACGTTGGATGGTTGTGGGTGTGTAAGAGATGATAGAGATTGGGAGGGGAAACATCACGGAGGCATTTAAAATCAAGGATCAGAAATATGAAATATAGATGTTCCTTGATGGGGAGCCAGTGAGCAGGGGTTGGGCGGGAATTCAGACTGGATTTTGGGGCAAATTCGAGGGTAGAACATAAGATTCCCATCAGGAGCCCATTGGAATAGTTGTCTCGAGAATGAAGGTTTGAGCAGCAGATGGAGCTGAGATGGGGTAAAGTTGAGTTGGAGTGACACATTCAGTTGTTCACAACTTCAGATTTGGAATATGGTATAATTTATATTGTAAACACTTCAATGTAGCAACCCTTAATCTTCTAAATGAAAAGAATACAGATCACGTTAAAATAATCTCGTCTCCGAATTTAACTGTTTAATCTCCTGGCACATCATGGTGACTGTATGCTGCATTCCCTCCCAGGCTAATATATTCTTACCAATGTGCAGTGTCCAGAACTGAACACAGTTCTACAGCTGAAGTCTAAAAAGGGGCTGTACAGATGGAATGTAACTCCATCCCCTTGTATTCTAGCCCTGGAGATAAATAATACCATTTTATTAGGACAGTGTTCTCAACCTTTTCATTATCAAGGCACACTTCACAAACAGTTCTCTGGTACGCACACTTATTTCAGCTGAATTGGTTGCTCATAAATGTCACATTTACTCATATTTATTCTGGTTATGACTTACAAGAGAGGTTTGCAACATCGTGCATGCAGCAAGCTAAAGAAGGATCAAATACATTAATAACAAAAACAGAAAAATTGCTGGAAACGTTCAGAAAGTCTGGCAGCATCTGTGAACAGAAATCAGCGTTAATATTTTGGATCTGGTGACCCTTCCTCAGAATTCAAATACATTAATGTTTCAAATCCACTGGAAAATATGCACTGTCATGATAGTGAGCACAGACGTATTTTCAAATTCTGCTCAACTCGGTGATTTCAAACTATTCATGATTTTAAACCTATTTCACACACTGCGATCGCTTGAAGGGGTCTGAATTTCACAGGGGTCATTTCATATTTGTAATAATATTTTTGAAAGCATGATTTTTATTAAATAATTATATTCACTTACAGAATGTGGGTGTGTCTGACTGGGCTAGCTTAGTAAACCACATTGGTGTGGGTGTGAGGTCACTTGTAGATCAGGTAAGGATGGTAGATTTCCTGAGAATTGATTCGTGGTTGTTGTTCAACTCTTAATTCCAGATTCTATGGATTTGTACCCAGATCCCCAGAACATTACGAGAATCTCTGGATGAATAGTCCAGTGATAACTGAATTGAATTGGATTAACTTTATTGTAACATGTAGTCAAATGACTACGTGAGAAGTTGATAAGTCACCACTTACAGCACCACCTTGGGTACAAAGGTAGTTGAGTAAAGATTCTTCACTTACAGATTAGTTACAGTGTAAGAGTGTGAACAACAGACGGCACCATCTTAGGTACAGTGTCCCAAGCTACAATTCTTAGGCACAGAAGTGAAGAAAACAAAGGTACAATACAGCTGTACACAGTATAACCATAGGTCACAAAAACAAGAGGCAAACTTAAAATGCCAACATCAGAGTCTCTCTCGGGGGGTTATCTGCAGCAGATCAGCACAGGGGTCTTCACATACTCTGACAGCTGGCTTCCACCACACTCCACACCGGGCCACTGATCGCTGGCAACCCTGCTTCAGGCCACAGGTCTGTGTACGCGGTCTCAGGGTTTAGTTACAGGGCC